TTTTTTTTTTTAAATTTTTTTATATTTTTGAAGACACCTTTTTTAAAAAAAATAAAAAAAAAAAAAAAATTTAAAAAAAAGAAACTTTAACAAAAAAAAAAAAAAAAAAAAAAAAAAAAACCTTAAGTAAAAAGATAATATAAAATTTTAATAATATTAATATAAAGACTAAATCTAAAAAACAAATATTAAAATTAAAGTACTTAGAAAAAAAAGAACTTTTAAGTAAAGAGTACTACCAATTAGGCTATTAGAATAAATCAGAAAAAAAGAATATCAGACTGATTTGATATAGTAATAGACTGGTCATAGGCTATTTGAATTAAAAGTCTAAAGAACAAACAGAAATATACTAAAGTATTAGAAATATGCTGTAAAATAAATACTAGAGTTCAAATAAACTTTATAAAAATATAATAATTAAATAATATAACTCTGATCACAAATATTGATTCTGTTATAGTAATACCTAAGTCAGTTATAAAAATAAATACAGAAGATTTTAGAAGGTTTACTTTAAGAATAAAATAGTTCTAAAATTAAAATAATGGCCTAAGCATAACTTAGTAATATTAATACAAGTTTAGGTTCAAAGAGTTTAAGAATAGTAGGTACTATTTGAAAATTATATATAAACTTAATAATAAATATTTTTTATAAATTAAATTATAAAACTTTTTATTAATTAAATTTATTTTAAGCTTTTAAACAAATTTGTAAAGTGAGAAGTATCAATTTAGTAAAGTAAATAAGTTGTTAACTTCCAAGTGACAGGTCTAAAAGGTTTAATTCTTATAAATAATAAATTTTAAAAAGGTAAATTATATTTTCATCTAGGTTAAAGTAACCCAACATATGATCTAAGCCACTGTATGCAAAATTAACAAAAGTCATGTGACCATGTTTTTTAATACTGGCCAATCAAATACCAGGCCAATTAAATCCTTTTTGTAAATCATATGATCATGTTTTTAACATTAGCCAATTGAATATTAAGCCAATTAAATTTTTGTATCTTTCATGTAATCTGTGCTATAGCATGTCAATAAAATTGAGTAAATAAAAAATACTACTTATATCTAAAAAAATTTATCTATAACTTTAACATTCTAGTTAAACCTTTTTTTACTAAGGTTTGATCTTAATTAAAATATAGCATTAGTAATTTTAATTGATTAAAGTCTATATACAGTATGTATATATATAAATGCTTGAATCCAGATTAACTGTAATATATGATATTCAGATTTAAAATACTATTCAAGTTTAATAATGATGTCTGGATTTAATGTTAAATATACTGTAATATCTCAGATTTAATTTGTCAAGAAAGAGCAAGCATATACAAGTAGAGATTGGAATCAGTTTAATCGACTAAATCTGATTCTAATTCCTATTATATAATATATAGATTACTTCTGATTTTAAGACTGGTCATTTTTTTCAATTAACAATAATGAAAATCCAAGTTCAATATTATTAGGTTTAATGTTAAAGATCTGGCTTTATACATATGCATGCATTGCAAATCTACAAAAAGAAATAAATAACACTAGAAAAAACCTTAAAATTCCTTTTGAAGTGATATGCAATTATGATTGAAAATGTAAAGTATGATCATTTAAATTAACTGATTTTTGCATTTTTATTATTTTGTAATATATGCATATATACAACCCTTTTAACAATATTCTCAGAGTATAAACAATCAAAATATATAAGCTCAAATGCATAATACATGTAATGAAAAGAACTTATAGCATGATTATGTAGTAAATACTTAAAAAAATCTATAACTAAATACATATAAGTCAATTCCAAGCATCTCTAGTCTAAATAAGCAAAAAAATTTACATGTACAGTGGCCTCCAAAAGTATAAAATAGTTACACAAAAAAACATAACAAATTTAAAAAAAAACAGTATAAATTTTGTAAATAAGCAAATTTAATAATATATTATTACATGCAAATTAGCAAATTAATAATATACAATACATAAATATGTAATTATTGCAATACATATTGATACCTGATTGAAATACTACATTAATATTTGCAACTATAACCTTTATTTTTGATAACTTGAATAATATGATTTAGCATGAAATAATGTAAATTATGAATTTGCATGAATTTATGATTTGTTTGTATAACTATTTTATATTTTCTGAGGCCACTGTACATATGCAATGAATGAATATAAAATTAGGTGTATCAAATTTATCTCATGCAATATTGATATATATGCTAAGCAATTGATAAACTTTATTTTGCATTTGTTACTATGCATAAGAAAAATTAAAAGTTAATATATACATATGTATAGAAAATATTAATTGACAGTAATAAAAACAGTAATATTTTAACCTTATTTGAACAATTTCTAGAGTTATGTCCACTATCACTACAAATGCCATATATATATATTCTTTTAATAGTATATTCTGCATCTGTTTTATTTTATCTTGTATCTTTCAGTCTTCCTTTAGTTTTGACATTGGTAGGATCTTGGATATCAGCTTGTAATAAGGGAAATTTACTATTTAATTAATCTACAAAAAGAGCAAGGCTACTATTGATATTAATATGACCAACTCTATTGCATATTGTTTCAATTTCTTTAAGTAAATCAGCAGTACTTTTAACTATTAATTGATTAATAGGCATTATACATGCTTCATAGTTTGGAAATGATAATATATTATTTAATAAACTATTTCTATTCATAGGATCATATTGTTCCTCAAATTGTTCCTTAAATTGTTCCTCAAATTGTTCTTCAGGTTGTTCTTCAAATTGTTTCTCAGGTTGATTCTCAGATCGTTAATTCTTAAATTGTTTTTCAGATTGATTTTCGAATTGTTTCTTAAACTGTTCTTTGGCTTGCACTATATTATTCACATTCATGAGTGGAATTATTCAACAATTGCCAATGTAATTAATGCTTACAGGTTTCTTATAAAAAATATAGATAGCAATAATATAGCAGCATGGTAAAGAAAATTGTATGCTATAATCACAATCACAGATTAAACCTATTTCATTTTTATATATTATATATACTTAATTTTCATTAAAAACTTTAAATAAATTAATTTCTTGTTTTTCAATACTGTAAGCATTAGCTCCATTATATTGATTAAGTAATAATACATAAGTAAAATCAAATATGACTGTTGAGACATTTTTCAATAAATCAGTGCATTGTTGGTGAGTACTTCCTTGGATATGATACTGTTGATATTGAGAACTTTGAATCTGATGACTATACAACCTTTCCAACATGTTAATTAATTTAGGCAAAGATGCCATGTAACCAAGTAGACATTTCAAATATGCATTAGTTGCTTCTGAGCATTGTGTAGTTCTTATATTATAATTAACATTCTTATTTGTATAGCAATATGCCCATATATAAGTGATAGATTTCCACTGTTTTATATAATTACTTGTCTCAGAATACTCAACTTGTAGGTGACCCCAAAGGATTCCAAATTGTTCTTTATTAGACTCTGTCATCAATGCTTTAAAATCTTTGCTAAATGCAATGAATTTATCATTAAGCTTGCTAGTTAAATTTTTGACAATGTTCTGTTCAATGTGCTATATACAAATCTGGTACTTGACATATGGCAATTTAGATTGAATTGTAGAAAGTAAAGCAAGGTTCTTATCCATTAAAATTGTCTTAATTTTATAAATTACCATGTCACTCGCAACTTGCTTTAATTAATTAATTACCTAGGAGAAACTTGATACAGTCTCATCAATGAGAAGTCCACTAGCAATAAGGAATGTAGTACCCATAACATTGACTTCACTAATTAATAAAAGAGGCATTTCAAACCAATTGGTTTTGTATATAGAATCTATTAGCACCACTTCTGGATAACATTTGAACATTGTAAGTGCTGAATAAGTAGTAAAGAACAGACAATAAAGTCTATTATTATTAATTGAATATGTAATTACATAGTCTTTTTTATTATATAAATTACTCAATAGCTTTGCTATTTGTAATAATCCTTTAACACGATTATGAGATTGATGATTTAAAGAATTATAGATGTCCCTCTTATATATATATCTACTATACTCTTTATTCAGCATTCAAATTATTATTGGCATAGGCACTTCACTATTATAAAGTATTTGTAAATGATTATTCTTATTATTGCTTAGTTTGTGATAACCAGGATCAAAAATAGCTACAGCAGTATCTATAAGATGGTTATATTCAAAAACAGCAGATTTTATATGATATTCAGTCTTTTTCTAGTGAATTATTATTTTGCGCAAACAATTGATTGCAACGCTCTTTGAATTTTATAGTCCAGTGCTTTTACTGTTTGCAATACCAGCACATTGACAAACAATTTCAGCTCTAGTTATAAATCCCATACTACAGTCTGTACAATGAAGTATCATTGCGAATCCTTTGTTAATAGCATAGGCATTTATATATTGTTTTACATTATTCCAACTAGAAAAGGTCTGACTAACAACATTTGATGACACAGAATAATTACTGTTCAAAAAAGTTCCTTGGGTAGTATTATTAATATTAGTGTGAAAATTGCTATCATTATTAATATTGGTGTAGTCGTCAAAATCATTATCATTAATATTAGCATAGTTGTCAAAATCATCATTAATATCATTGCGAAAATTATCATCAAAGTTACTATCATGACTAGTGTCAAGGTCACTTTTAGATTTATTATCAGTATTAGGTTCAATAATAGGGTTTTTATTAACAATATAAGATAAAAAACTCATTTTGTAAAAAAAGTAAGAAACATTATACTTTGTGGTACAGGAAGGTAAAAAAAAAAAAAACTCACAAACTCAAGCTATAATTTAAATATGTAATGTGATTAAGTATTTTAAACTCAGGCTCTAGCTCTATTAATCAGAACATTAATCTACTATATATCTTGTTTAGATTCTAATTAGTGAACTTTAAGTTACTAAAAGTGTTTGTACAATGCCAAAAAATTACTATGTAATGCTTTAATTAGAATAATTATAGTTAATTATGCTATATATCACAATTTTGCAAAAAAAATTTTTTTGAGCAGAGTGAAAGGTGGTATTAGGATGTAATCTCATATAAACAATCTATGTGAAAATATTTAAAGTTTTCGCTATATCGAATTGATCTTGATAAGTTGTGATTAGCATTGAAAATTCAGCACAAAAAATTTGTGCATAAAAAAAAATTTTTTGTGCACATACAGATTTCTGTTATTTGTTAGGTACATACATACATATGTACTAAACTTTGCACAATGTATTGTTAATTTTGTACAAACTACAATACATGTATAACGAATTTTCAATACTAGTTGTAATACTGATTTTTGCATATACAAATGCATTGTTTAGTAGTATAAAACTTTGTTAATATGTTTTAATTGACTTGTGATTTTAATAGTATGAATCGTGTAAAAGATACAAGAATTTAATTTGCTTGATATCTGATTGGCTGATGTTAAAAAACGTGATCACATGATTTACAAGAAGAATTTTAATTGGTCTGGTATTTGATTGGCCAGTGTTAAAAAATGTGGTCACATGACTTTCGTCAATTTTGCACTCAGTGGCTTAGATCACATGTTGGGTTATTTTAACTCAGATGAAAATATAATTTCTCTAAAATTTTTACTAAGAAATTTGTGATAATTACTAAAAGTTTTTTAAAAAATTTGCTATATTATAAGGGTAATATAAAGCAAAGACAGTGTCTAATTCAAAGTAAATCTTTTTTATCTATAATTAATTACAAATTAAATTATTTATATTAGATTTAATTGTAATAAATATTAATCCTTATCTGTTTTAATATGTATATAATATTAATAGTTTCTGTTATAAAAGTAATGTTATTATAGGTGTGATGACCTAGTGAAATGGATAGGTTATCAACTCTCAAATGACAGATCTAAGGTTCAATTTCTACAGATGATGAATTTTGGAAATTATACTATGTTACAATAACTGTCTTTTGCTGATTAGTTGGGTTTTGGGCATCTGTAATCTTAGGTATACCAAGTCAGGCCTTACTTGACATTATGAGCTCAGAGCATTTATATGAAGTATAATATTATACATATATAGAGGAATGTGAAAAAACTGATGTTAAATAAGGCTTTGGTACAAACTCATAATAAGACTATTGGATGTAAAAGGCTAAAAAACTGAGAAGATAGAAACCTATTTGGAAATTCCAAGTAAAAAAATAGCACAAACTTTTGATAGTACCATTAGACTGATGAAAGCCTATGAAACACCTTTATAGAAACTGTCAGATAAATCAGATGACAAGATGTGTAAAGAAGCATATGACTAACCAGACTGCTGGAATCACCAAAAGAAAAGAATACATTAGTATACCATGCTGGGCCATCTGGATTGAAAGTCTGGAAAAGTCTGTTGTTGGTTCCGAATTGCAACTAGTAGGAGATGATAGAAAAGAAGTCAGAGAGATAGATACCAGAGTTTGGGTAAACTTTACAAGGGTAATAGTGGTTTAAGGAGTAACTCTGACTGCAAGTGTTGGCCTTAGCTATAATATCAAACCAGGTTAGTAGTAAAAAGAAATACAGCTCGCTCTGGTAGGTTTACCTCAAGAATAAAAATAGTCTAAGGATTATAGTCCTATAGTTAAAAGTAAATAGATTTGGGTTTGTGATCTGGTGAAATTAATATCAGATCAGATCAGAGGGTTTAAATAAAACATCTAAGCAAAGATGTTAGATATAGCAACTGATAGAGAATCTTCAGACAGACTTCTTAAATAGGTAATATAAAAAAGTTATACACATAGCAAGTTGTACACTCGTCTGATAGTTCATTATAGATATATCTATATAAAACATATACTGATATAAGTATTAATAAAAAGCTATGACCAAAGAGGTCACCTTAATACCAAAAATAAAACAAAAAAAAAATAAAACAAAATAAAAGTAATATTATAACATATTTTACTATTAACTTTTTATTGGTTTTTTTTTTTATAGTCAGACCTTCCTAAATGCATCTTTTTGAGATTATAAAAAAAATTTAAAAAGTGTATATTTAGAGAAAGTATGCATTTATAAAAAGCAAAATATACAAAGTTTTTATAAGTTAGAACTAAATTATATTATGTATTTAAAAAAAATTTATATAATTTATGTACTTAGAAAAATACAAAGAACTAACAGTATTTATTATTTTTGTATTTTTTTAATTTTTTTTAATTTAACTAAGAAAATACTTAGCTTTGTCATTCTTAAAACATTTTTTTTATAAAACAGATAAGTGATTTTAAAATAATAGTTTATTATCTTTATTATATATATATATATATAGTTAAACTTCTTTATAGTTACACTCCAGAATACAAAAATTAATAATTATATAGAAATATAACAATTATAAAGATATCTTTATATAATTACAATATTATTAAAAAAAGTAAAAAAAGTAATTAGTGATTAGGCTATACAAAGTTAATTTTTTAGTTTTTATAACTGACTGAATCATATTTTTTAAAAATTAATATTATAACTTTTTTTTATATATAATTAAAATTTTTTGTTAATATACAAAAAAAGTTAAAAAAATTTTAATTATATAAAAAATTCATAATATATAAAATTTTTATCTAGTCTGCTAGATTATTTTTTTTATTTTATATTATGAAAACTAGAAAATTAATTTTGTATAGCCTTATATAAAAAATTTATTAAATAAAATTTTTTTTAAAAAAAATTTCAAATAATCAATAATAGTTGCTTTATAAAAAAGTTAGAATTTTATTAAGTAAATTAGTCTTTTTATATTAAGTAAAGTTATTCAAAAAAGCAATTTATATATACTATAAATTTTTATATTTTTTAAAAAATATTTTACTAATTAACTTTTATAGTTTATATTTCTATGAATAAATTTAATTTTTTTTGTATAAATATAAATTATAAAAATTAATTAGTAAAATATTTTTTAAAAAATATAAAAATTTTATAATATATATAGATTGCTTTTTTAAATAACTTTACTTAATATAAAAAGATTAATTTACTTAATAAAATTTTAACTTTTTTATAGAGCAACTATTATTAATCAATTGAAAAAAAAAGGTTAAAAAAATTTATTTAATAAAAAATAATAATAAGTATATATTATATTTAATATTAATATAAAAATTACTTAATTGTGATTGATTAGTTTGTAAATCATTTTTGAATTAACAAATTAGTAGGCTTTTTATTTTAATAATAACTTATAATATTAATAAATTTTTTTTTAAAAAAATATTATAATTATAAGTAAAATTTTATACTAAACATTTTTATTTTAGAAGTTAAAATATAGTTATTTTAGTAAATTTTTATAGTATTTATAATTTTCTTTTTTTTTAGATTTTTAATTATATTTCAAAATTTTATTAAATAACTTATCTTTTTGCTTTTAAGTAAAATTGTTTAGTATAAAATTTTATATATAATTACAAAAAATTTTTTAAATATTTTAATTTTTCTTTAGATATTTTAAATTTTAATTTTTGTTTACTTATTTTTGTTTATATGCTTTGTTTATAATTAAATATTATACAAAATTGGATGATCAATAGTTTAATTGACTAAATCAAAATATGATATTAAATACTAGTAATATATTTTTTTTTAAAATATTAAGATGAATATTTGCAATCCAGGATTTTATTAATAATACATTCAGTTAATAATTGCATTACAATTACAGAAAGCAATCATAAAAAAAGTATACAACTAGTCACTTATATAACTTTAATTATTATTTAATTTTTAAGTAATCTGCTAAAGATTTTACACTAGTTATTATATCTAAAACCTGCTTGTAAGTTTATTTAAATACTTTAGTTTTTATATCTATCTATTTACTTACATCTACTAAGATGTTCTAGTCAATACTAATGCAAATATATTATAGTTACTAAGTCATTAAAGCAGTTTATTTATATGAAAAACCTTTAATTTTAACTAAAGCTTTTAGAATTTCTATATTCTATTTTTATAGCTAACTTAGTAATGCTATGATTAAGACCAACACTTGTAATTAGAATATGCTATTAAACTACTATACTCTTATAAAGTTTACTTTAATCTCAGTATTTATTTCATAATATATCTCTATTATTTTAATATTTAATTCAAGTTCTACTAAGCTCTTAGTTCAGATAGTTTAGAAAAATAGATACAATCATACCTCTGATTTATATATTTTTTGGCATATGATTTTTTTTTCTGTTATCTTTTTTAGAATTTTAATGGTTTGACTAGTTACAATAATTTTTTTCCAAAGACTGATTTGTTTTTATTTGACTTTAAAAGTTTTAGTTTTATTTTATAGGTCTAATCTTTAAGTAACATTATTAAAAGTTCAAACTACCTCTTTATTCAGGTTTTTCAGGTAGGTTTTTGTCTTTTTAGTTCTTATAATTTATATAGCTATAAGAACTTATTACAAGTTTACACTGTCTAGTATCAGTTTGTATTTCTTTATATAAGATACAATTATTGTATAAATATTATATAACCTTTTAGTTATACTAATATAATATAGATAACAGATATTTTATTCTAACCAATAGCAGAAGATAGTTAATTATAATATAGAAAAAATTTTAAATTTTTGTTGATACTGAAATTTGAACTTTAAATCTGCTACTTGAAATTGACAACATAACTACTTTACTATATTGTTATGCTTCTTATTGCTGTAATTTATGAATATTCAAAAATAATAAA